TCTTTGCATTTATTGCTGACCTTTTAATGGGTCCGAGACCTTTCTGTCACAGTGTGTTTGGAGTGTATGTGCTGCAAACTTATGATATTATATCAAAGAAGTGTGTGTCAAATTTTTAAAGTAAACTGATTTTGGCTGAGAAATGGTCTAGCAGAGCTTTGTGTATGTGCACATGTGCTGCAGGCCAAGAAGACAAATGGCGCTTCGGAGCTTGTGTCAGTTATGTTGCCTGTTTGTGTAACTGTGTGTATTACAGTGAGAGAGAGAGAGTGAGTGTAACAGCAGATGCTCTCTCTGCTCCAGTGCTGCTGCCATCTGGTTGGCTGAGCGGAGGCTGAAGGCGCGATGGTGGTCGCTGTGAAATCACCGGCTCAGGGCTTAAATCCACTTAAGACAGAGAGCCGCGGTGGAGGGGGAGTTTCAGAGGGGAGGACGGGGGTCATGGGGGTGTTTTGTCCACTCAGGAGGGCAGATGGAGAGAGCAGAGGGGCAGTCATGCATTGCGGAGGATGAAAAACTAAAGCAAAATCCAAGAGGCTGCAAGTTAGAGAATGTAAAACTCTACAAACGGAATTAATTTTGGCAGCCAGTCGCACAAGTATCCTTTTGTCCTTTTTAAAGTATCTGACTGCTGTACTGCATTAATTAAATTGATTATTAAGCACTGAATGAATTAAAGTTTTGCCCTCCAAGACTGGACGTAGGAGATGAATCCTGAGTGGTCAGTTGGCATCTCTTCTCCTGTTCTTCAGGATCGATCGCAGTTATTACAATTAAAGAGACCGATTACTGATATTTGAAATCAATATACACTTGCAGTAAAGCTGAAAAACAAAAGTTTAGCACAAAACTTAGTTAAAATACGTTTTACAGAGTTAATTAAAGGGAAACTTTTCAGCATTTGTCCTTCACTGTTGATAGGCTGTTACCCGTGAAGTGTATCCAATCAGAGAGTGCTGAAGGTGGGACATTGCTGAAAAATTACATATAGTTTAATTTTCCTAGAATATTGTTTTAAAGAAACACTATCGCTAACTCTGGAAAAAAGCAAAATTATATCTGATCCAAAAATCGTCCAGGCAGATAACCAGTCGACCTTTGTACTCACAGTCAGCACATGCTTGATCATAACTAGATTTATATTCTAGGGTTTCTAGTGGACATATATAACACTGTATAGTATATTAATTAAATACATACCAAAAAAAAGATTAACCAAATAGAAAAGTATTTCTTTTAACAGGAGAACACTAAAACTGAACTGTATGAAAGTTCATTTGAAGCATCTTCTAGCTTATGATAAGATGAGATAAGATAAGATAAGATAAGAGTTATTGATCCCTCACCCAGGAACTACACTAACAAAACCTAGATTAAATAGGTCTATAAAGTTCTGTTGTATTTTGTAATGTTATTTACAGATCCAGTCCCAAACCTCCTTCACTGCTTGCAGACTCACTGAAGCCGCTTTAAGGCCAATGTTAGCTCCAGATGCTAAAACTGATTTTTAGTTCAAATCTGTCATCCAGTTCAAAATAGGTAACCCATGTTGTCCACATTTTCACAACAGTTTTTGCGTCAAGAATCATATTTGACCTTCTGCTTTTGTTTTTTTCCCCTCATTGCAAAGCAGTATTAGTCGTTACACACCGTCTCCATTTAGTTTACATGTGCCTCCCCATGAGGTGCTGCACTGCCCCCTCTGCCACGATCATCTTATAAACAGTATTATTTATTCATAATATTCTGTAGTCTGGGATTTTTAAAGTTTCTTGTAATGTGCAGCCTGATTTCAGCTTTAGAAACATGTTTAAAATCTGTGAGACAGGTTGAGGATGTTCTGATTTGACATCAACAAGGTTATTTTTACACACTTTGGAAAGTCCCTCCAGAAGCATGAAAGCTATTTTCTAGCTGTTTTTACTAAGTGGTGATGAGTAAGCTAAACTAAATGTGAATAGTCAGTCCCCGACATATCCAAACAAATATAAACTGAAATCATTATCCAAAAACTGTAAACACCAATTGTCCTGCTTAACGGGCTGATTTTGTTGTAATTCACCAACATGATCCTGAAATTAGGAGCTAATCTAATGTTAATTCACCCTAATCAAATGTATACCTGCACACAAATGGTATGAAAATGAGACGAAGACAAAGCGAGCTGATTGAACCAGTGGTGTCTGGTGTTCTTTCGAGGAGGTTATCTTTGGCCATCCAGGCTTCCATGTCTGTCTGCATCACGTCAAACCACACAAACGCTGCAGTGCTGAGGAAAACACTGTCATCCTCTCTACCCGTCTCTCATCCCTCTGCTTCTTTTTTCCACGTCTTTCAAAAAGACTGTGACAGCTCCTAGACTTTCCTGAATCCTGGTTTCTCTTGTGTTCTCTCTTCACCTCTTTTCCTGTCCTTCAAACCAGAGTCTGTCCATCCGGGACTTGTTAATATGTTGTGCTCTCCCTGTCCTCTTCCTCCTTTTTATTTTCTCTTCTTCTTCATTTTTTTTTTTCACTTCGGTTAATTTTCCATGCTCCCTTTCATCTTTTTGTTGTATCACTCAAAACCCAGCAGGTTGCTTTTTCTGGAGTTTGAAGGTGTTTATCCTGTAAACACCAAGATTAGAAATGTTTTTGAATTGTTTATACATTTGAGACTAGATCTGCAATTAACTGTTTTCATTGTTAATTGTTATCAGGTTTTTTTTAACTTCAAAGTGGCGGAAAGTGGTGAAAAATGTCATTAGTGTTCCACAAGTGTTCTTACTGTCCTAGAGGAGGAAAGAAACCAGAAAATATTCACATTTAACAAGCTGGAGTCACAGATGTTGGACTATATTTCCTAAAAAACGTAAAACCAATTATCAAAATAGTCGCTGATCAGCTTAATCAAGTTTATCGTTACCACACTCTTTGTGACATTCCAGCTTACGTAATGTGGCATCAGTGCACAGTGAAGGAAAAACATAGGAGTGAGCTTGTCACAAAGTTCGTTCAACACAAAATACATACATTTTATTCCATTCAAGTAAACTGATGGGTGGAAAAGTGCCTCAGCTGGAATTTTTTACCTCTGAAAAAACACAAAGATCCATCCAGGAGTCGAACTGGAGACTGAGCTGCAGAGGGCATTTTGCCTCTTCTGGTATGTGCTCTAATTCAGCCATTTTTTCCATGTTTTGAGAAATTTTAGACACATCGCAAATCGATTTAACGGTTAATAAAGAAAATAACTGGTCACAGTTACTTGTTGCAGCTCTTCCCGATGTGTGCTTTTGCTGACCAACCAGTGTTTCCTTTGAAGGAGGTGGAGGCTTCCCTCTTAAAGGTCAACCTTTGGTGTGTTGTGATATTTTTTGACAGCAGAACATCCAGTGCCATTTCGCATACCTTTATCTTTAAAATATCACTTTGCATTAGATCTTCTAGTATGTTTAAAGGTCGAACTTTTTCATCGTGACGACCTTTGTTCTTCTGCTCTTCTGGATTATTTGGTGGCGCCTTAAAGACCCCCTCTGGTAAAAATCACATTTTTTACCTTAATGTGTCCATTCAGGGTTTTTATATGCTGGAAGATGTATTCTGAGTCAAAACAAAATTCCCTGAAATTGATTTTTAGGAACAACCTTTGCCTGTTTAAAGTCATGGTCGGCTGATCGCTGCGACTAACTGGCCGAGCGTTGGTCATGCGTGGCAGATCATCACACTCCGGTCAGCCGCGGAAGGCAATGTGTTTGTTGGTTTGTCAATTAGCTGCTCACCTGAGATCTGCTTCACCGACTTATTCATACACTGTCTGACATTAATTAGGGCACGTCAAAGAGAATCATATCGTTGCAGAGCATGTCGTCGCTCGTAACTGAACTGCTCGGCGAGTTAATCATGATAAATGAATCCTCTGTACACCCTCTGATTAAAGGAGATAACTTGGAATTTCACTGAAGCAAAACCATAAACATTTCATCTTCAAAGAAACTGTCCCTTCGATCTTGTGGAAACAGTCCCATTTTGGTTTTATAAACCACCGTTTTTCGTCACACAGACACAATTTTCTCAGTGCTCTGTCATTGTGGACACTTGGAGACGCTAATCTTAAAGCCTGCTTCTTGGAATATCCCGTATATAGTTAGAATTCCATCCTGCACCGAGGGTATGATTATAAACAGTCGGCACTGTACACATTTCAGTATTTTAGATTAGCTGTAATACCTGGTAGAACCACCGGATGAAGCCTTTTACTGTTTCGTACCGTAGCGACCAAAGGAGGTGGTCACTTCTGTGTGGGCAAGCAGAGAGCATTGTGGGAATTTGTCTCGTAAGAGAGCACCATGACAGCGGTTTGTGATGCTTAATGACCTTTGGTGTGAAATTAGCCTGTGATGACCTAAGACAGTGGTTTCTTATCTGAGGTTGTATAATGCCCCTTCTGTGGATGTGATGTTAAAGAATTGGGATTAGTTTCGTACCAACACCTATCAATTAAAGTTTGCCATGAACATCCCTAGTTAACATATTCTGAGTCATGTGAGTGCAAATCATCTGTACAATATCACATTTTATGTCAGCTTATCTTAGTAAACCAGCCAAATGAGCTTCTGCATGGGAATGTCAGGTTTACATTCCAGTTATGCCTCCGTGAGCCTCGACTTTTCTTTTTCCACAGAGCAGCTCACACCTCACTAAGTGCTGCAATTAGAAGTTTCTCAGCAGGCAAAAGCAACACAAACAAGACGTCAAGAAAAACTCACTGCCCAATGATTGCATCACTGTGACAAGTTTGTGCTGGAAAAGACCAGGCAGCTCTGTAGGAGCAGAGAGGAATATGTGTCCCTTTTCATTCTGACAGAGATGCTTCAGAGTCACAAGTCTTTTCATCCTGATGAGTCAGCAGAACAGCTTTCTGTGTTCTTTGTCATTTCCTTGTTCTTGTTGTTCTTAGTGTATATTTACAGCAGCTCAGTATATATTTACGCTCATTATCCTCTGTGTTCTCTCTTTAAGGCTCTGGCGTCTCACCGAGCTTACCTCCTGACGGCACGCATCCCCGCCAAGGTAAGGACTTTAACAACACAACTTTGTGGTTTACGTCTGCCTGCACAGCCAGTGGAATTACACAGAAAATATCATGATACCAAAATAACTGTAGTAGCATGTCAGACAAATTACCTCTGGTTTATGGGTGTGTTGTTTAAATTTATATTCATATTAGTATAATAATAATAGAGATACATTTCACTTTATTAATTCTTTTAAAGCATTAGGCATAATGAGACAATAATCAACATGAATGTGATGAGAGTGGATATGCCATGAGCAGATTAGTTAACTGTTAAATGCAAATCAACAATGACAANATACACTCCCAGAATCTGAACTAAACTGAAGACCCAGTAGATTGCATTTTTTCACAGCATGTTCCTCACAACAATAAGAAAATGTTGTGTAGCTAATGCGGCTAATTTTATCATTTGCTTTGACTGTATGCTCACAGGTTAGAGCCAAACACATTATAGCTAAAAACAGAGACTGTGCTGATAATTTGAAGCTACAGAACCTGAATCAGCCTGTTTAGAACAGGACTAAAACCAGGAGTTATCCAGTCAGGATAAGATGAACCATCTTTGTGGTGGTTTTTGTTAAAAAACTGAAAGACACATTTTGGGGTCATGTGATTAATTCGCTGAGACAATATAGGACCTTTATTGTCTGTGAAACAAAATTTCCTCAAATAATTGGCATTTAATAGCGTGGCATTTTTAATAGGCTAATGATTTCCTAAAATACTTTCTGGTATGGAGATAGTAACACATGATTGGGGCTGATTATGAGAACACTCAGATCCATTTGGATCCACTTGGGTATTGACACATTGACCCAGGCGACCCCTGGCAGTCAACAGAAACCCGACCCAGTCAGATTAAAAATAAAGTGGATGTGCTACATGTGAAGACCTCTACCTTGCAGATGATACTGTACGGTGCTGTTTCCCTGATTGGACGAGGCTGGATGTTAGCTTAGCGATTAGCATCCTGGAGAGTCTCGCTCCTCTTTCACTGAATTGCATCATCCGTGATTATTCAGAGATTAAAATGCAGAGAGACGTGCATGTGTGTGGGTTTCCTCTTTTCCACTGTCTCAAATACATTCACATAAACCCAACACATGCATATAAAGGAGGCGCAACAGAAAAGAAATGAGGAAAAAAAACACCAAACAATGTGTTGATGATTCTTCCTCATGTACATCTCTTCATGGTGCATCCAGTTCAAGATAAGGAGGTCAGAGCGAGCAGGAATGCAGGGAGCAGAAAAACCTGAGCATCTTGAATGGATTTTTCTGTGCAGTGATGGTTCGATTACCAAATAGTCACACATTCCACAGTGTGCAGTCCGCCATGGAAATCTCACAAACAAACCGTTCAAGAAGTGGCATCATGGTGCTTTTTTCCCCCCCCCATTTAGAGCCTTCTGCTAAAAACACAGAGGCATGAGGGCATTAAGAGATTAAATGGAAGGAAAGTGAGGGGAGGGAAGAGCAAGGAAGGAGAGAAATTCACTGTATTGGACCCAGAAAGGGCTGATTGATTTCAGCGTAAAAGCTAAGAGAGGCTTGTCCAGCTGCAGCGGTTGTGACAGAGATGAAACTGCTTTTAAACACTCTCCTTCATTAAAGATCTGCCCCCTCTGATTGGATTTAAATCTTGGCTCCTTATCAGCAAAACAGCACTTAGAATCTATTAAGTCATTTCGCTCGGGTGTCCGCTCTGCTTGTCTCAGTGGCTGATCTCTGTCTGTGTTCGCTCCCTTCTTTTTCTGCAAGGCCCTAAAAATACTCACTCCTGTTTTGCAGCGTTTACAGTTTGCAGCCTGCACATCATGACTCATTAATGTTATACATAGACACGCATGCACATGAAGGACATTCTCACATTAGTTATGCAATAAAGAGTTTGTGTCAGCAGTCGGGGGGAGCGCGGGGATATTATGGTGGTTGTGGGTTTTCCACTTTGCTGTTCATTTTAGGGCTGCAGCTTTAAACTGTGTCATGCTGAAACAATTAGTTCAATACAAAAATACACAAAATGCACTGGTTTCAACTTCTACAATGTCAAATGTTGCTGCCTTTATATTTTCCTATATGATAATAAACTCGATATCTTTTGATTTTGTACTGATGGTTGAATGTAAAAGAATCAGTGGAGTTTCAATTTTCCAACAGACCTTGAATATCTCATTTGTGATACAGAGATCTGTCTGTAAAAATGAGCCAAATCTAAGCATTAAATCGTAATATGTCATCAATATCATTGTATTCTACACATCTTTATTCTAAACTGTTTGCACCAAGTCCTGTAAAATCAACAAATGAGAAGCCGCAAGCGAATCAGCAGCAAGCAACAGTCATGCAACAAAAATTCAATGAATATTTGGCTGAACTGCAGGCTGTGTTTACGCAGAGCAGATGGAAGTGTTTTAATAAATTAGAGAGACTGAAACATACTTAAGCTTTAAAACAAATGCAGCATGGCTCAAAAACAGTGTACAGAGAAACAAGTTTTCAGCAAGCTGTGGAAAGATATAGATGTAGAAAGTTGATGTTCATATCAGTGTGAGAGGACTTAAAGTGTCTGTAGTGTTTAGAGACCCCATTTTTTATCGTGTAATTCTAACACCTATGGTCGTTTGGGAAAATGTTGCATGTGTTGATTCCAGTTTTGTTTGGTTTTTAATTTTTGTAAAAGGACTAATTGAAGCAATTCAACTTTTTTTTTCTTCTCCTTTTTAAAGGTTGATGGCTTTTTAACTTTGTTAAGCTGCACAAAAGACATATATGTGTCCCGTCTCCTTCTAGCTGCGCTTGTGCTGTTTCCATAGAGATGCAGGACTTTATATTACAATGAAAAATGAGCCCATAGTGAGGAAAAAATGTGACAAGGACAAAAGAAGACCACAAGCTGCTTGGGCTTTAGAGGGTTAATCTCTGAATAATTTATTTTCTTTAAAAAGTGATTTTGTTCTAATTGCTTGTTTGTTTCAGACTACAAGTCCCAAACTCACTTAAATTAGAATTATATGAAACAACTTAAAGTTAAATGCTTTATAAATTACAGACGGTTATGTATCTGTTTAGTGCTACTTTTAACATATCTAACATAAAGATAAAGCTCTTCCTATGCTGGAGCACACAAACTGCCATAAATCCAAAACTTGTTGGTTTTGTGGATTAAATAAACCAAATATTACAATTAGTGGGCTTCAGAGGTGATTTTCCCTGTTCCTTCTCTCTGTGTCCAATCAGATGAATCACATGTATCTCAGTGTTGTGAAAAATGTGAAGCATTTGCTTGGGCCTAGATTTCAAGGGGGATACGTTGCTGTGAATTATGGGATAGATGGATATAATAGAGCATGAATGCACCCCAAGACGTGATGGATGAATAAAAGCATTTTTTAGTGGGGGTAGATTTCCTGCGGTTGAGTGCTGCCACAGCTGAATGAGTGCAGATGAAACACTGCTCTGTTTGCTTTGGTTCCTACAGAGATCCAGTGTAACTGTAGTCCAGCGTGGACGTCGTGTAAGGGGGTAAAAACTCATTGACATTCTCAGACGAGGCCTGACACTGCAGCGTGCTACTTTCATGTGTGAGAATCTGTCAATGTGTGTGTGTGTGTGTGTGTGTGTGTGTATTCACAAATGCATGCGTGCAGGATGGGCTAGCTGTTGCCATAGCAACATAAATTGTGTGCGAGTGTGCACATGTGGCTTGGCACATGTAGCTAAATTGGGGAGGGTGGTGGAGGGTTGTTGACAGTTTGATAGAAAAAAAAGAGATGATACTGTGAATGGATTGTTCAGTAGATAAACCACACACGCACACACACACACACACACACACACACACACACACAGATACACTTTGCTGATCTTTGCATTTATTGCTGACCTTTTAATGGGTCCGAGACCTTTCTGTCACAGTGTGTTTGGAGTGTATGTGCTGCAAACTTATGATATTATATCAAAGAAGTGTGTGTCAAATTTTTAAAGTAAACTGATTTTGGCTGAGAAATGGTCTAGCAGAGCTTTGTGTATGTGCACATGTGCTGCAGGCCAAGAAGACAAATGGCGCTTCGGAGCTTGTGTCAGTTATGTTGCCTGTTTGTGTAACTGTGTGTATTACAGTGAGAGAGAGAGAGTGAGTGTAACAGCAGATGCTCTCTCTGCTCCAGTGCTGCTGCCATCTGGTTGGCTGAGCGGAGGCTGAAGGCGCGATGGTGGTCGCTGTGAAATCACCGGCTCAGGGCTTAAATCCACTTAAGACAGAGAGCCGCGGTGGAGGGGGAGTTTCAGAGGGGAGGACGGGGGTCATGGGGGTGTTTTGTCCACTCAGGAGGGCAGATGGAGAGAGCAGAGGGGCAGTCATGCATTGCGGAGGATGAAAAACTAAAGCAAAATCCAAGAGGCTGCAAGTTAGAGAATGTAAAACTCTACAAACGGAATTAATTTTGGCAGCCAGTCGCACAAGTATCCTTTTGTCCTTTTTAAAGTATCTGACTGCTGTACTGCATTAATTAAATTGATTATTAAGCACTGAATGAATTAAAGTTTTGCCCTCCAAGACTGGACGTAGGAGATGAATCCTGAGTGGTCAGTTGGCATCTCTTCTCCTGTTCTTCAGGATCGATCGCAGTTATTACAATTAAAGAGACCGATTACTGATATTTGAAATCAATATACACTTGCAGTAAAGCTGAAAAACAAAAGTTTAGCACAAAACTTAGTTAAAATACGTTTTACAGAGTTAATTAAAGGGAAACTTTTCAGCATTTGTCCTTCACTGTTGATAGGCTGTTACCCGTGAAGTGTATCCAATCAGAGAGTGCTGAAGGTGGGACATTGCTGAAAAATTACATATAGTTTAATTTTCCTAGAATATTGTTTTAAAGAAACACTATCGCTAACTCTGGAAAAAAGCAAAATTATATCTGATCCAAAAATCGTCCAGGCAGATAACCAGTCGACCTTTGTACTCACAGTCAGCACATGCTTGATCA